AAGTCTCTTATTTTGTGCTGCTGATTGATTTCAAGTTTTCTGGGTAGCCGAGAACCTTACAGTATGTAGATGAGGTTTATCTCTCTGGATCCCATGATGGCTGATTTGACTGTTTTGTTACCAAACTTGGTCATGAACCATCTGCTGGAAAACAACCAAGCTCAGAGAACACCAAGAACCCAACAAATCAAAGTCATCTAAAATGTGTAGGAAAGTGTCTGTCATGATTCAGCCACAAGTAAGATGAGCGTAGGAAAACTGGCAGCAATTTCAAAGGGGAAAGGTAAACAAGATGGTCCCTCCTGTAACCTGCTCACACATCTCCACTAAATGCCTGAGAAAAGGGACAAAAAGGAAGGTGACTGAAGTCTTCTGCAGCATCAGCTCCCTTGAGTTTGCTGAGCTAAATCAAACATGCAACCATGACAATTAAAAAAAAACCCAGCCTTGTCTGAATTCCAAAACATAGTAGCTTTCTAAAGTGACGTGGAACATAGATTCTTTTTTAAAAGGTAATGCCTCCTTCAATTCAAGCTCAAATCCTGTGGACCACATGACATGCCTACATTGTTTTCTTAGCAACAGAATGGAAATGGTTTGTTATTCCCTTTCTATGGGATGTTTATGCAGCTTCCCAGTAAGCCCCAGGATTTCCTTGTGGTCTCCCATCCAAGACTGAACTAGGTCCAACCCAACTTAGCTTTTTTGAGATCAGCCAAGGTTAGCCAGGCATAGCCACCTGCTGTGGCCTTTTTAAGGAAAATGCACTTTAAATCCCTAAGAGGGAAAAATAACAGATCCCACTGACCTGAAACAGTTACAGTGAAAAAAACAGAGTTGCCTCCCACATTGCACACAAATTTTCCTGTGTCTTGCACCCGGGCTGAGGCAATGACCAGGCGGTGATGGGGCCCTTCACTTTCCAGCTGCAGACCTTCCATGTCTTCTACTTCTTTCCCATCTTTGTACCAGCGCACGAGAGCATTAGGACAGGACAGCTCACAGGCCAAGGTCACTCGTTCTGAAGCCCAGTAGGTGTGAGCTTCATCTGCATTGGAGCACACCACCTGCACAGGTGGCTCTGCAAGAGGAAGGGCACCAGATGTAAGGAAAAGACCACATTCAATAGCAGTGAGCAAATCCTGGCAACTTCAGTTATGGCCCTGTGAAGCCCTGAAGAGTTGCTGCCACTTTGGTTAAGTTCTATTGCACTAGAGAGACCATCTCAACATAATGCAGCTTCAGATGTTTTCCTAACAGGAGGGTCAGTAATTAGAAGAGTTCTCGAGCCTGGACCAAACCATCTTTGTAGCACAGCATGACGTTGTGCCACATCTCTGCATCAGGTATGATTGCATCATGTAGTCATGACTGATGAAGAGACAAGCAGAATCAGCCACTTCCACAGGAGATTTCCTGGGACTGCTCACATGACCCCTTCTTGAACTTCCCTCCAATGAGGAGAAACACCCAAAACTGTGGTGAGCTCAAGCACAGAGCTGAACTTTGACAGATATTGAGTAAAACCACCTTTTGAGATGTAAGAAATTGCAAGTGCCTCCAAGGATCGCAAACCTGGAAAAGCGGTGTTAGAGGCAACATAAAATAAAAGGGAGGTATATCCCAGCCTCTCTCGGGAAAGGAAAATGAGGAACCAAATATATCTGCAGTAACTTTGCTGAAGCAAAACAGAACTGGGCCTGCCGAGGGGTTGGAAAGAAGATTTCTTAGAACAGATTTTCCAGCTTTTCCCAATCTGAGAAATTCTGAGTGTTCTGGGAATTGCAATCCTAATTCATCTGGAGGATGGGAAGGGCTGGTTTAGGAACATCAGGTATGAGTCCAACTGAAGAACATTGAAAAATAGAAAGTAATTCTATATAAATAAAGCACGAGGCTGTTTAGAAGGGCTATTTCTGACCTGTGACGGTGATGTTGAAGAAGGCAGAGTCATCACCTGCATCACACACAAACTCTCCTGTATCTTGGACTTGGGCCGAGACAATGATCAGCCGGCAGTGTGGACCCTCCTTCTCCAGCAGGAGGCCCTGGCTTTCCTCCACCTTTTCCCCATCCTTGTACCAGCGCACAGGGACATTAGGGCGGGACAGCTCACAGGCCAGCACCACACGCTCTGAGATCCAGTAGGCGTGGGCTTCCTCAGGACTGGAATGGACAATCTGGACAGGAGTTTCTGTGGCACAAAGAAATGTGTTGGGAAGATTACAGTGCCTTCTTACCGCACCACTTCATCTGCACAAGTGGAAACTCACTAAGGGCATTTTGCATTGCATCCTTAAGCTGCTTCTGCTCTGTGTTCTTCTAAGCCACCTGAAGAAAATCCTGTCAGACTAAGACCCTTGGCAGCCACTTGCAAGGTCTTCAGTTTGGACTGTAGGCTACCATGTCTTCCCAATGGACAATTCTCCAGCTTCCCATTCCAGAAAAGCAATTGCCAGTCACTTTCATTCTTGTGGGCAGGTCCCACTGGCCATACATATTTTTACATATGTGTATGTGGGTGTGTATGTGCATATGCACACACATATGTGTATCTCGTTAAATTTATATATACAAACTTAAAGGATCAAAATGTATGTACATGTGTGTATGTGTATACACACATACACACACACAAACTTAAAGCATCAAAATGCATATATGTAGCTCCAGCCACCACCTTTAAAATAAATAAGTCTCCTACATCTCTACTAACTATATAGAAGAGGGAAATTCAGGAGATATAGCTTGACACGCAAATTATATATGGGAAACTTCTAGAGGAATCCAGCCGCTCTTGGGCCTTGGGCAAATCACTCCCTCAGCCTTACCTATTTCACATTGTTATTATTCTGATACTCAGATAAGCACTGTTAAATTCTTTATACATAAAATCTAAACAGATGAAAATAATGTCCCTCATAACAGCTTGTTCATATGTCTTACTAAGCCCTATTGTGGCTTAACAGTGAATGAGCAAAATTGGCTTCCCTTTGAAGTGGGTAGCAGGCTAACAAACAATGAAGGCTCTGCCTGAGGTTTCCTTAGTTCATGACTGAGCTCCAAATCTGTTTCTGGAGCCCAATCCCTCAGGATTCTCCATCAAAATTCAGAGGCAAACCCCCAGAAATAGCACAATTTCCCAATAAATTCCAACATAAAGAAACAAGGTTTGCAGATCGATCGATAGATCGACCGATCCTGGATGATTCATCCTTGACAAAACAATTAGCCCTTCCCACTTTTTGATGTCATTGCATTGCTGTCCACTCTTAAGTACCAAAAACATTATGTTAAAAAATGCAGCCTCCATCTGCAAAGCATTTGCTGACTCTGCTTTAGTATGTGAGGAGAACCATAAACTCTGGTATGTTTGAAGAGGTATAATCCAGAGAAGGAATCCAAGGAGATCTTTTGGAGATGCTTTCTTTGCTTGTGGCTCTCATAAAGAGACCCTCGTGTAGAAAACATGCTAAACAAACCATGGACACAACTACCTCTGATTTGTTAGCCATGCCCATTCGGGAAAGGACCAGTGACTGCGATGGTGCAGATTCACAGCTAAGCATAATATGATTTAGTGTCATATGTAAACACTGTCAATCCTATATAGGGTCCACAGATATAAACTTCCACTGAATTCAGTGGGACTTTCTCAGCCCTCACAACGCATCCTGTAAAGTGGAGCTACTGCTGGCATCCTGTGAATATGTGCCAGGATGGATGAAATGGATGAAATGGATGGATGAAAGGCTGCGAAGGTCCTTCCCTACGACTCACATTGCTCTCAATAGAAGAGAATATCTGTAGCTCAAGGTTGAACTGTGGAGTCCTTGGTGAGTCCCAGCCAAGCTCAGAGAACACCAAGGACTCCTTATATTGCTCTCCTTCCATCCTGGAAGGATGGAAGAAAACAGCGGCAGCAGGAGATTTGCAATCGCCGTTGCTGATTCCTATTCTGCTTCTTTTGCCTTTGCTCTGTAGCCTCCTGTCTTCCCTCCAAGGTGACCGGGCCTAACAGATTTTGCACACGTTGAAGCTGTCCTCAGACAGCCTCAGAACAAGAGGGAAAACATTTGTTTTTAACCCTAGCATTCCTTCGGGCGGCTTCAGCCTGCCTCACTCAAGGGCTGGGGACAAAATGAAGGCAGCCTCATCGGAACAGGGCAGTAAAAGGATGCTGCCAGAGTACGGTTACATGAGAGCAGAGAAGGACCAAAGGAAAAATTGCCTGAAGCAAGACAACACTTTTGCAGTGAGTTGACCCCAGGCTTTTAGGTCCACCGGGTTCAAAACAATATCCCTGTGGCTCTTATATCACATCACCAAAGGAATCTGTGCCAGAAAGCATCGGAAAGGCTCCCTGACCCCTTGATGAAGTTGGTCACATGTTTTTGTTTTTGTTTTAAATACATTCAGAGAGCACTCGACTTGCCCTCGGTTGTGCCTGCAGGAGCTTTTGTCTTTGAGGAAGAGGTTGTACTAAGTACCTGCTTCCACCCAAAGGCAACAAAACAAGCAGCCTTTAAAGGGAGGCTTTCAGGCATCTGCAGCAGCTGCTTCACTGGAGCTTCATACCAAGACTTTGGAATAACAATGTGGTTGAAGAGGCTTATTTTCTTGTTCACAGATAAAGAGGCACCATTTCCACTAGAAAGAAAAGGTAGAAAGAGATTCTTTCAAATCTCACATCTGCAATGAAATGGCATTAGGCCATTTCAAAAACAGCTCAACGTTTCAGATTTGTAAAATCCTACAAGTAGGCATCCAGGTTGCTGAGATCCAGAGGCACAAATTCTCCTGACTTTAGAAATCACTCCTTGCTTAAGGCATTAAAAACCAAGTCATTTCATTCTTCCGTAGATATAGACATAGAAAAGACAAGAGTTTTCATCAGAAACATGAAGTCAAAACAATACAGTATAACAAATAATTATTTTTCCATGTATAGCGAATATTTTCTTTTTTCTTCTTCCATTTAAATATGCTCTACCTAGCAAATTTTGAGAAATACCTAGTTTTGAAGTATCACAAGTCTTACAAGGCTTCTTCATGAGCCAATAGAAGTCTATGAATAACAGAATTTGGGCAGAGCAGGAATCACTTTAGTAGAATTCTGTTGTAGAACTTTTAAAGGGTTAAAATATGGTTAGACTGTTGACCTGTCATCTGGAGAGGCTACTGACCTGTAACAGTAATGTTGAAGAAGACAGATTCTCCACCTATGTCACATACAAATTCCCCTGTATCCTGCACTTGAGCAGAGGGAATGATCAACTGATGGTGAGGTCCCGTGTTCTCCAGCAGGAGGTCCTTGCTTTCTTTCACTGTTTCTTCATCCTTGTACCAACGCACAGACACATCAGGGTGGGATAACTCACAGGACAGCACCACACGATCCATAACCTTGTAGTTGTGAGCTTCTTTGGAATTGGAATGAACAGCCTTCACAGGAGGTTCTGTGGTGGGAAAGAGATGGCGAAGAGACCAAATGCTTCCAAGCTCAGGATCATTATGAATTTCCAGATTTGGAAAGAAAGGATCTGATTACAGCCTAAACCCCTGCTAATGCTGGATGGCCAAAAACTATGGACATTATTTTATGTGGGATCAACTGTATTCAAAAGCTTATGGAGCTTCATGTGCTTTATCTTTGGCACTAAGCTTTGTAGAAGGACATGCACCTTTATATTGTAAATCTCCCTGTTTATATCAAGGGGTTTTTTTCCACTTACCATCCACAGTCACAGTGAAGCTGATTGCATCATCTCTGGCATTGCACGTATATGTCCCAGAGTCCGAAGAGCAGACAGAGGGAATCACCAGCCTATGGTTGCAGCCTTCTGACTGGATACAAGCGCCATCATCCAAAGCTATGGGATTCCCTTCTTTGAGCCAGCAAACAGGGGCATCGGGTGTGGACACCTCGCATTCCAGAAGCAGAGGCATCCCGGGAAGAAGGGTTCGGAGTCGCCTGGCCTCAGGCACTGGAGTAATATGTACCTGTGGGGCTGAAAGCAGTACCTTTGCAAGTAAAACCTATGCATAGCAAAGCATTCATTTCATCTTAGGTTAATCTTGTGGCCACAGCAGCATTGACCATTTTGTACACATTCTGTACAAGGCCATGTGTGAAAAGCCACCCAGGAGACTCTTACATAAGTGGTAAAACAGAGCTGGGAGGTACCTGAGGCTTTGCACTGCCTGTCATTCAAAGAAGGCAAATGTAAATGTAAAGACTGAGTTTCTCAGATAGCCTTTGCAGTTAAATAGATCGTAGTTGCAAGCAAGCCATGGGAAAAACACAGGCCGCATGGCAAGTCAGACTTCACATGATGCAAGAAAGAAACTATTGGATCTCATGATTTTTTGTTTGTTTGTTTACTTTGAAAACCACAGTGAGGGGTTCCACTTTTGACTAGAGTAACCATACTAGGGGAAAGTGCCTTTTATATCCCAGCACCAGTCAAGATTAAAATTCCACTCCCAAAAAGCAGGTGCTGTTTACTCCATAGCAGGAAAACAGAGGGATCTGCCCGCCTCTCTTTCTTATATTACAGCCATAATCCTGTCCTCTTCCTGTTCCTAGAACGTAGCTACTAGCATGTGATTGTTTTTGATTTTCTAATCCCTGCTCTGTTCTCAGGGCCAGTTAAGAACTCACCTTGTACGTGTAACACTGCCGATTCTTTCACGCCATTGGCTTCAAATCGCACCTCGGACCCATTGGCACTTAACTGCACACCTTTGATCTGCAATGTATGGTTTACTCCACTGTGTATGATACGGTATTGCTGGTCTTCCTCTTCCTTTGCCAGCCTTTTCCCATTGAGGAACCAGCAACCAGACATGGGAGCTGAAAGATGGACTGAAAACGTGGCGTCCTCGTTGATACAAACCATCATGTCTTGCAGTCCCTCTTTTATATGGGCTCTGGGCACTGTAAGAAGAGTCAAATATTGGGAGAGTAATGTCAGCCCTATAAGGTAGACCAGACTAAGAAACCAAGTAGACCTAAAGCTACTTTTATTAGAACAGCCATAGTAACAGTTTGAATGTGCCTCCCTTCCTCCCTCTTTTAACTTCATGTGAATTAAAGGGGGGGGGGGTCTGTCTGAGGCATTTTCATAAAACACTTTCTTGGCCTGGACTCAAGCCTTGTTTACCTGACAGTTACCTTGGTAATGGAACTTTGCTCTGTCCTTCAAGGCCCTCCTCTATACTTACTACAAGTAATTTGAAAATAGGTGATGCAAGTAACCACATGCAGACTGACGTTATAATCATACTAAGCTGTGTATAGTTATATAGAGAGTAAGGAGAATGATCTTGACAGGGACTCCACAGATCTTGACAGAGCTATGCAAGATCCATTACCAAAGTGACTAGTAAGACCCTGTTATTATAGCTGCTCTCAGTAAAAGTCGTTCTAGCCTTCCTGTAATGGGGCTTAAATCAATCTTGCAAGTCTGATTGTGCTGTATCTCCTCCCGCTTCTTATACTCCTGTGAATTAGGAAGGGGTCTGTCTAAGTCTCTTCCACGTATTTTCTCTCTGTTGTGTTTTATGATATGTTTTATCCCTCATCGCTTTGGTAACAGATCTTGCATATCTCCATCAAGGTCATCTTCCTTAATCTTTACAGGTTTGTAGTTTGAGACTGTAAAGGTTTGTCTGTAAAACCTGTAAAGATTTGTTGATGAATCTGTTGTGATGAGTCTAGTCATTCTGGTTTGTAAATCTTGGTTTATAAGTTAGGAGTTGTACAGACCCAGATGATTGTACTTGATTCAATAGATGGTGTGTACACATGGCTCGCACAGTTTGCAAATCCAATCATACAGAATAAATTATTCCAATGGAATTCAAACTCCAAAAAAAGAAAGGTATTCAGCAAGCTGAATGTGTAAGAAGGGTGCAGATGCAGAACAGCCAGTTGGGAAAAGCAGACTAGTGTACTAGTGCAGTGGGAAGAGGAAGAAGGAGTTGACTAATCAGTGCCTGAGGAACTAGCCAGACGTTCAGCCACAAAGCAACCAAAGTCACAAGAGGGAGATGCTTGGGACCCCCACTCTTATGCAGAGACAAAGCCCACCCCTTAGGAGCAGGGAGGCTTACCAAGATGCACGGAGCCTGGGAATTCCACATGCTCACTGCACCCATACTGATTGGCAGAGCATACACGGAAGCGGTAGTCAGCCTCCTGGGGCACACCATCCCCCGGAACTTCAACCATGCTAGCAACATCAGTGGTTAGACAAGGCACCCATTCAGCCTCTCCTGCAGCCTGCCTCTCAAGGACGTAGCTGCTTGGTGGGCTACGATGCAGATCTGGTGGTGGGCACCACGTCAGGAGGGCAGCATTGCTACGTGCTGTGCACATCTTTACTGCCACAGGTGCACTTGGTGGAATCCTTTTGGCACCTAGAGAGAAGAAGTCCTTATTTATTTATTTATTTATTTATTTATTTATTTATTAAATTTATATGCTGCCCATCACCCCCGGAGGGTGACTTTATATTATCTTCTTCCTGTATTAGCCACCTGATCCCCATAAACCTATATTGTGATGTAATTAAAACTTCTGAAAAATCTGCAAAGTACAGCACATTACAATAGCCAATCAGTATAGATTTGTTCTATCAAATATAGAACAAATATAATTGTGATTGGACTATTTCTGTCCTAAACGGACAACTAGGCGGCTAGCTTGTTAGCCTCAGCTTGGCATCTAGGGACAAAACTGGCTTTAGAGGACCCACAAACTACAAATATATTTCTATAGGGGAATAGAATCCCATCCACAGCCCGGAGACAGTCTTTGAAAAGTGAGCCATCTTCCCATTGAATTTCTATGTGGACAGGAATCTCTTTCAGATCGCTGGCTTTCTTCCAGCTCATTCCCAGTTCTATGCAATGTGTAGGAACTAAGTCTTTGCAGCTAACTGTACCAGCTCCTTATTGCTGCCAAGAAAGCTATAGGGACATGAGCACAAGTCACCAGGACCTGAGCTTAACTCGAAGCAGAAAATAATCTTTCTGGGCTGCAGCATATCCAAACTACAAGTGACATATAACCCCATTTTTTAGAGCCCAAGTTCACCCTAGTAAAATTTTAGTGGCAAACTCTCAAGTTATGGAGGCACAACCTCACAACAAAGTTAAGAAAACAAAATACACTTAATATTTTGTTTATTATAATTCATTTAACTAATTTAAATTGCTAATTTAAATGGCTAATTGTTATGAAGTAAGAAAGGAATTTAATTTTACTCAGTTGATTTAGAGAAGTGTACAATAAAATGAGCAGGCTTAAATTGTGGGCTATTTTGCACAGATGTGGAGTGGAAGGTTGATTTTTAAACGTGATAATAGCAGTGTATGATAGAAGTAAAGCATGTGTGATAATAAACTGAAGACTTATGGTTCAAATAACACAAGGATTGAGATGTCCCCTTGGTCACCTGATGTGTTAAATGTTAAATGTATAAGAAATGCTTGTGATGACATTAGAGGTGTGTTCATAAGGGCATGAATGCATGTTTAATTTTATATGGCAGACAATGCCATATTGTTGGCTGAGGACCTGAACAATTTGTGATGAATGTTAGATACATTGCATGCTGTAATGAGGCATATGAATTCCAAAATGAATGGGTCAAAGTTAGTTGACTTTGCATGTAAAATAGAATGATTGCAAATTATATGTAAATGGAGGAAAACTGAAGTATGCAGATCAGTTTCAATAGAATGTTTAATGAACATGGGAAATGTCTGGAAAATTTTTGAGAGAAGTGCAAATGCTGGACAACTTCCTTATTGAATGCAGCTTCTCAGAATACTTTTTACTTTTAGCAACAAAGGAAACTTCCCAAGTCCTCCTGAGGAAGCAGGAAGTTGAAAAACTGTTGGACTGCAGCAAAAACAGAAAACAAAGACAACTGGAGTTAGAACAGCTTTCTATCCATGATGAATTTTGTTCCCGAGACATTTCGAGTACAAGAACTCTTGATCAAGAGTTATTCATAGTTTTCCACTGAGCTCACAGTCTCTTACTTATATATAGCTAAGGGTTCTTCTTGTTTCTTTCTCCCCCCCCCCCCCCCCCGCCT